CCAATGGTTTTTGGAGATTTCGGCGTGCGCGCGCGAAGAAAAAACGAATGTGTCCCGCATGGTATTATTTGACAGGGATGATGGCCCTGGCAGGTGCGCAACCGTTGTCGCAGAAGTTCGAAAAAGTTGCTCGCAAAAGCCCGTTTGACAGAAATGTTTAAAAAGTGTTGGGTTTCCTACGAATCCGCAAGAGCGCGCGGGATGAGATTTTGACAATTTTTTGTTGAAAAACCATTGGTTTTTTGATGTTTTTATGTTAAAATCGCTGCGAACACTAAGGTTTTGGAAGGATTTCGTCTTGCGCGCGCGAATGTCCACTTTACCTTATTTTTTGCAAGGGATTCTTGAAATTTGATTATATTAGAACAAGAAATGTCATTTTCTATTGTTTTTTGCAAGGGAAAGCGGATTACAACAAAACAACCGGATCCTGTACACACCCTCTTTTCTGAGGCTTCCTCACGAAAATGATGAAAATGTAGCTGCGGCCTAGGCGGCGCAGGGGGGGCGCCCACCAGGGGGCCCAACAATAATTATTCTCTAGAATAAATAATGTTCAGCAAAAACACGGCGGCAGGTTTTGGCAACTCTCAACGTCGCGGGGGGGCCTCCTGCTGGGCCCGGGGTGCCGTCAGAGGCGGCGCGGGCTGAGGAGTCGGCCACCAGGAGGGGATCCAGACCTCCAGGACGGGGGGGGGGGGGGCCGCGTCGTGAACGAAAGCCGCCGACGTGCGATGTCTTCACTTTCCCGTGCTCGAGGATCAGAAAGCTGCGCAAACCTAAACTTTCGGGGATGGACAGACCTCCCTTCGGCAAAATGTGGTTTGGTGAAAACGACTTCGGGCCCAAACCTGGCGGGCGCAGGCCTGGAAAAGAACGGCCACGAAGCCACCTCGAGAACCGAAAACGGACAATTCACTAGTCGACGTGTCACTGTTGGGGGTTCTGTCCAACGCCGAAACTTTCGGAGCTCCGCGCGGAGTACACCCTGCGAGATGCTTAAGAAATCATGGGTTAAGAAATTCATAGTCTCAGAACTTGAGTAAAACCCCAACATTTTCATTCAAATCTGAAGATTTACATGGAAACGTTAAGAATAATCGAGACTCTGGCCGAAAATTCAGGTTTTCTTAAGCATCGCCTAAGGTGCACTTGGATCGGCGCGGGGGCCCTCTCCCTGGCACGCGTGGAGCGCGCCGACCGGCGGCGCCGGAGAGGCTCCGCCGCGGGGGCCCAGCGTCGAGCCGAGGGAGTCCGCACGGAGCTCCGAAAGCGTGTGCTGAGTATGTTTTTTCTCCGAGGTGGGCCAAGCGTCGAATAGTTAGGGAGCCCACAAAGGACGTACGCGTCCAGCTATGTACATGAACACGGCCTCTTGACCCGCGAGACCTGCCGCGCGATACGAACATTCACGCAATGCGAACTCTCGAAACCAGCGTGGATTCATGTACATGTACGTCCTTCTTTCGCTCCTGAATAGTAGATCGTCGGAAAAACTGTCGAATCGTGGATCGTCGAATAGCAGATCGTCGAATGCAGGATTGATGTACCCCAAAACTGTCTTGCCCGTCGGGTCTACGACACATGCGTCCAATGCGCGTTAGATCCAGGGAGAGGTCGGCGCATTCCTCCATGATCCGGCGGACACATCAATTTGGCGCAAATCGATTGGGTAGTCGATCCCCTGCTCGAAACGGGGAGGATGGCAGGCATCCTGGGGCCGAGGGAGAGGGGAGAGGTAGCGGCGGGAACAGGGGCAGGCCCAGCGTCTTCCAGGGCAGCCTCCGGGCCTCTCGGACATCCCATCCTCTCAGGGGTTCGCCCAAACGTGCCAGCATAAATTCACACACACACGCGCGAACACACACACAAACACATACACACACACACACGCGCGAACACACACACACACACACACACACAGATACACACACACACACTCACACACACACACACACACACACACACACACGCACGCACGCACGCACGCACACTCACTCACACACACACACACACACACACACACACACACACACACGCACACACGTACACGCGCACACATACAACCGCGATCGACCATGCACACACACTCACACACACACACACACTTTTAAGTCGGCGGCGCAGAAGGTCCTCAAGCTCGGGCAGACACACACTCACACACACATACACACGGACACATACACACACACACACACACACACACACACACACACACACACACGCACATACACACGCGCGCATGTTGGAATGCCGGCCCCGCGGGCAGCGACAGGGCGTAGAGAATATATATATATATATACACATACATATATATATATATATACACACGCACACACGGGAGCACACACGCAAACAGCCTTATCAACCACGGTCTGCGATTCCTCCTCGTGGGCGAGCCCAAAACAAGCACCCCCTGCTTTGACACCCTCCCCCTGGCCTCACAAGTGCAGCACCCGACAAACCCACGAAAGACATGCAGACCTGGTAAGGCTTCGGGCTGCGCACAGACAAGACAGCCCCGCCAGGTAGCCCCACCTGGCCTCATCAAGCCCTCCCGAGCAAGCGGTCTCCAACCCCAACCCTGGGGCGCGGAGCGCCCCAGCGGGACCGCCCGAGGCGGCGCTGTGACGTTGTGACTGGCCCTGACAACTCGGGGGCCTGTTGGTGATAGCTGGGACTGCTCGGGGGTCTGTCGAGGCCAGCTGGGACTACCTAATCAGGGGCTGTCTGTTCGCAGCCCGAGGCCTTCCCATTCGGACCTGCTCCCCGAGGCTTTCGTTCGCCGGCGCCTCTGGCCACGCCTCCGGGCTCTCTGCGCCGCAGTCCACCATCGCCACTGGGTCGCCGTCCACGAGGTCGCCTGCAGGTCGGGCAGTGCAATGGGACGCTGAAGAACACACTAGTACTATGCGATGTTGGAGGCCGACACAGGCGTGCGCGAGTTCGCGTGAGTGCGTGTGCGTGTGTGTGAGCGTGAGTGTATGTGAATGTGTGTGAATGTGTGTGTGCGCGCGTGTATGCGTGTTTGCGTGTGTATGTGTTTGTGTGTTTGTGTGTGTGTTCGCGCAGCCCCTCCCCCGGCGCCGTCTCAGAGGGCCCCGAGAGGGTCCCAAAGAGGGGGCCAGCGGAGTCACAACAGTCTCACGCGAGAGGACAGCTGCATGATTTCACTACCATCAAAAACCCTACTAAGGACGCGCGGTAAGGACGCAAGACCCTTGGAAGCCGAAGTTGGGATTTTTCGGGCGGCGCACGACGAAGACCTGACAAGCGGGCGAGCGAAAGAGGCCAAGGACGAGCCGCAAGAGCAAGGAAGAGCAAGGACGCGAGGGTACCCTGAGCAAAGCCGCGCGTCCTTATTAGGGTTTTTGACTGCATGATTCCTCTTGTAAAGGGAAATTAGAACACACAAATAAATACACACAAATAAAAATATCCCCCATATTTCCCATATTTTCTGGGTTTTTGTCTTCCCGCCCAATTCCCATATTTTCCCATATTTTCCTAAAAATCGACGAATAATTGTGTCTGTGAGTTTTTTCCCCTCCTGATCTTGGGCCCCTCTTGGGGACCCGGAGTGCCGTCTCAGAGGGTCCGAAACCCGAAACCCAGCAACCTGGCCGCGTGCTGACATCGGCATGACAGTCTTCGCAGGGTGTTTCAATCTCCGCCGGACCCCATCCAGTGCAAGCACTGCCTGGGGAATCGATGAGTCCGATTCTCCCGCCCACGACTGCCCCGGAATTCCCGAGCCCGCCTCGGGGACTGCAGACGCCATCTGGCCAACCCCCTTTGGCCCCGAAACTCGAACTCCAAAACAGTGCCATGTCTCCTCTGGCCCCCTTCCGACAGCGCGCGAAGATCCCGTCGGCTGATCTGTCATCTCCCCACTCGGAGAAGGGCTTCACGCCCCAGGGAGATGTCTTCATCCCCCGTCTCCAAGCCACGGATCTCGGGGGCCCAGGCCAGCTCATCGCCAGGTTGGGAAATGCCCAGAACCCTTCCAGACGAGAAGTTTCGAAATGAAGTGGGTGCAACCCTAATTAGGGGAAGGCTTCCCAAATTAGGGGAATGCTTGGCATTGCTTCGCATGGCTTGGCATTGCATTGCCTTGCCTGTCATTGCATTGTTATGTAGTGCTTTCCGTAGCTTGGCGTGACGTCGCGTTGCTGGACACTGCTTGGCATGGCTTAGCATTGCTTGGCGTTGGCTGGCATTGCTGGGCACTGCTTGGATGTGCATTGCTTGAACGTGCTTTGTATTGTTTGGCATTGCTTGGTACGGCGTTGCGTTGCCTGGCATTGCTTCGTATGCCTTACACCGATTGGCATGGTTTTGAGTTCCTTTGTACTACTTTGCATGGTGTCGCATCGCCTAACATTGCTCGGCAGTGCTTGGCGGAGGCTGGCCTTTGAACAAAAAAAAAGAAGCAAGACCGAAGGGACCCCCAGGGAACCCGGGGGAACCCCGAGGAACGTCACTGCAAAGAAACAAGAAGGGGGAACCCCAGGGAACCAACTTGCAAGGGAACAAGACCAGGAACCCCTGGGAGCCCCAGCGCGACCAGGCCTGGTACCCACCAGTTTTCGACAGCAAGTAAGAACATATAAGGCAAAGCCTAATGTTGGAAAAAGATACAGTCGACCTGTATCATAAGGATAAGCGGTATGGATGCAAGGGCTTTGGACGGCCATGTCAACACTTTGGGGGCGGGGCGCGGACAGCAAAAGCGGCCAGGGATGGGCCGAAGGGAAAGGATGCAAGGGCGCCCTTGGAAAGGCTACCCATCCTTACCATGCGGGTTGACTGTAATGGCAGCTTGGAGAGCAGAGAGGAGAAAGATAGAGAGATAGAGAGAGAGAGAGAGACAAATAGAGGTAGAGAGAGCGAGCGAGCGAGAGAACCCAGGGAGCGGGGAGACCAACGAGCAGGGTGGGGGGGGAGCAGAGTGACAGCGAGGGTCCAAAAGAAGAGGCCGTACTTGCGATTTGTCTGACGGCAACAACAACGACAATGAGGAAGGCCTCGACAACAGTTCTTATAGATAGGATGAACCTGGCGCCACCCAAACTAGGGGCCTTCACCCTTCCAGCGCAATTCAAAATGATTCAGAGCAATCCAATGCAAAGCGTTGCACGACATTGCATAGCATTGATCAGCGTTGCTTGGCAGTGCTTGCACCCACCGGCTTCTTTGCACGCACAGATGAAGACCTTCGGAAAAGGAGCCAATTGGTAAACACGACGACTTCCAAGTTTCTGCGCACCAAGCGCAACCTCGTCCTCTGGGTCTCTCTGGCCTCGAGAGACGAAGCCTGGGGGGCGGGTGCGAAATCACTCGCCCTCGACGATGAAGGCGTGGTGCGAGTGGTGCGTGTACGTCTCGCCAGCTCGCAGCACGGGGCTCGGGAACGACGGATGGTGGATGCCGTCGGGCCAAAGCTGCGGCTCCAGGCAGACCGCGCCGAACTTCTGCCACGTCGCCCCCTTGCCGTGCCACCAGGCGCCGTTCTCCTCGCGGGGCGTGCGGGGAACCGCCGCGCGTGAAGCCCTCCCTGCTGACCTGCTTCGGAGGGCAGCAGGGGTAGGTTCTGCATGTGGATATGGGGCCACGCCCTGTAGCAGTACAGGGCAGGTTTTAATACATAGGATGTTTCAAAACATCGGATTGTGAATACATGACGAATGTATGACTAAATTTATGCATGAACTCATCGTTGTTCTTAATACCAAATCCCTGCATTTTTAATACATGATCCGCACTCGGAGCATGTATTAAAACCGGCACTGTGCAGTCACCCTGGTACCATAACGAATGCCAAGTGCAGTCGGCCCGTATGATGAGGATGCGCGACAAGGATGCAGAGCCTCGGGCGCCCAGCTCTTCGAGCGGGGCGCGGCCAACGACAGTGGCAGAGGATGGACCGAAGAGGCAAGCATGCAGAGGTACCCTCGGGAAGGTTGCACATCCTCACCACAGTCGGGGCGCTGACCTAAGGAACCCTAAATAAGGAACGAGGCCCCTTTTCCCCAAAAGTTGAGCTTCGATTTCCCGTGGAAACCCTCAGGGAAACCTAAGGAAAACTGCACAGCAATCCAGGAACCCCCAGCCCCTCCCCAACGAAAAGGGTTCCTTCTTCAGCGCCCCGACTGTATGCGGGTTGACTGTAAGAAACAAAGGGTTTGCTTGTGGTCGCGGAGATCCTTGGCCACGACGAGGCTCCTCGACGTGAACATGGAAAACGACCCGAGAGCCAGAGCCCCTCGTGACCCCCCGGAGTGGTCCTTGCCAAGGTGCCCTGACTGTGGGGGGCAGGGGGGTTGAAAGATGGGAGAGCACACGTTACCAGCCTCGAACGTATCCCTATCCTTAAGATTGACACGCCAGAAGGCGATGACAATCCTAGGGATCCGCCCTCGACAAAAATCGGGGGATCCCAGAGATAGGGGTATGTTCCAGGCTGGTAAACACTGTTCACATCGTGATGACGCTCAGAAGAACAAAAACACCGCGCACGTAAAATCATAAACCTGCCGGAGGTCCGCGCGGACGTCCTGTCGGGTCGTGCGAAAGGGGGGGATAGCAAAGGGGGGGATTGAGAATCAGCTCACGTAGCTGATTTGCCCGGCGCCTCCCGGCGCCGGGAGCGGCCATGTATCGAGGAATTGGCCCTTCGGTGAGGCCGAAACCAGCTGCATGCAGCAAATTTCGTAACCCCCCCTTTCCCTATCCCCTCCTTTCGCCCGAACCGAGTCCTGGGTCGGCGCTGGACAGCCCCGATCCCCGGCGCGCGGGGCGTGCCTGGGGGCGGCGCCCGAGGCGCCGCCCCAAAGGGGGGGCCCGAGGCGCCGCCCCGGGAGATCCGTGCGGAGCTCCGATCGGTGGCTCGAAGATGGGGGCCCGAGCGATGGCGCCCTTGGGATACACCATGCGAAATGCTTAAGAAATCATGGGTTAAGAAATTCATAGTCTCAGACATTGAATAAAACCCAGAACTTCTATCAAAATCTTGCGATTTACATTGAAGAGTTAAGAATAATCGAGATTCTGGACGAAAACTTGGGTTTTCTTCAGCATCGCCTAAGGTGTAGGAAGGGACTCAAGGTGGAACTCACGCTGCTCGAGGCAACTCGTCCTTTAGGTAGGGGGCCACAGGCGAGCCCTACCCCTACCCCCCACGATTTCTCGGGGGGGGGGGGGATCACTCAGAAATCGTGGGGGGTAGGGGTGGGGTTCGCATGTGGCCCCCTTTTCGGACCCGATCCCTCGGGACCCCATCTCTGAACCGCCGATCCGAGAATCTGTGCATGTGCTGCCGTTTCTGATTTCAGCGGGCGAAGATCGGCACAAAAATGGCGTCTCCGTCACCGGGGGGGCGCCTGTCCCAGGGCGGCTGGAAAGCTTATACCCCGTCGGTAGAAACTTTCCAGCCGCCCTGGGGGCAGGCGTCCCCGCCCGACGGCGGAAGCAATCATTTGTTATACCCCTCTTCGCCCGCCGATTCTTCGAACGCTGGCGTTGGTCTCTGACACTGCGTGGATCGCTCGATGCCGGCCGACCCCGAGCCTGACTACCTACCAGACCACCCCAACCCAACCCGAAGACCCGAATTTCGGGTTGGGGGGGGTAAGGGCTCCACGTGTGTTTTTTCGATGTTTCCCGACCCACTCCCACTAGAAATCGAGGGTAAATCTGAGCCTTCGGGTTGGGTTGGGGTGGTTTGGTAGGTGGTGAGGATCGCTCGATGCCAGCCGACCCCGAGCCACAGGCGGCCCCCGAGCTCGAACGCACGCGGACGCCCGCGCCGAGGATGCCGCCGTCCCCGCCACGCGGTGCGAGGCCACCGCAGGCGCGCCAAGTCCCGGCAGTCCTCGGATCGCTCCCCCCCTCGGAGTCGCTGAGGGGGTTGGGCACGTGCTGTCGGAACGGGAGGAGGGTAAGTTGGAGGAGGAGGAGGAGGAGGAGGAGGAGGAGAAGAACGAGGAGGGCGAGGAGGAGGAGGAGGGGGAGGAGGAGGAGGAGGAGGGGGGGAAGTGGAGGATGAGGGAGGGGGGATGGGCAAGCTCCGTCGGAAGATCGATCCCCCCTGGATTGAATACCCCGTCCAGAGTAGACAGCTCTTCCACTCACCTCCTTCCCCTGCCCCACGTGGAAAGGCTTGGCTACCTTGCCTCTTGGAGAGGTCTGCTAGAGCGTCGTCGGGAGCCTCTCGGGGAACTTTGGCAGGCCGAGCTAGCTCGGGAAACAGAGCCGACGGCTAATGAGCCGTCCCGAATCGAATCGAAATCGGATCGCCGAGTCTGGCTGCGACTGCAGAGGTACACAAAACTACATAAGCACTTCTCTGGTCGGCGCTGGACCCCCCTCCCTGGCGCGCGGCTCGCGCCAGGGGCGGCGCCCGAGGCGCCGCCAGGAGGCCCAAGGCCGATCCAGGAAATCCGCGCGGAGCTCCAAGAATTTGTATGTACAGAGGCCTCCTGGATGGGGTCGGACTAGATGGGGTGGGAGGATCGCGCCGCATCGCCGATGCATCGGCGACGCACCAGCGATGCATCGCCGACGTGGGCGGTGCATCGGCAACGACGACATAAAGGAAATCGGGTTCCACATCGAGCCACATCGGCGATGCATCGGCGATGCGGCGCGATCCTCCGACCCCACCTACTCGGACCCCATCTGGGATGCAAATAATGTGTGCCGTTGTTTTCTCTTCGAGGCCGACCCCAGCCAATGACGGTGCATCGAGCCGAAGCGAATCAAACATCGCATCTGTTGCAGAGGTTTGGGCAGACTGTGGCGCGCTGCTGCTGCACGCGTGCTGGAGTCATACTCTGGGTGGGGCTACAATCGCCCCCATGCTGGAGGACGTGCTGTCGGAACGGGTGGAGGGGGAGGAGGATGAGGATGATGAGGAAGAGGAGGAGGAGGAGGAGGAGGAGGAGGAGGAGGAGGAGAAGGAGGAGGAGGAGGAGGAGGAGGAGGAGGAGAGGGAGGGGGAGGGCTCCCTACAGGCCTAGACCCCTTCCCGAGAACTGGCTCCCCTTCCATCCCAGGGACCGGCTTCATCCCAACGGCCCCAGTGCCCAGCAGGCTCGTGATGCTTCACGACGTGGCCCCCCTGAGTTAGCCACGCGCGGAGGGGGGTATGGGGGAGGGGGGAAGGCTTCTGAGAAGCAGGGGCGCTCCTGGGAAGTTTTGTCCCCCCTCCCCCTCCCCCTACCCCCCTGTGCGCGTGGCGGAACCCTCCCAAGACGCCCGAGAAGGCCCCCGAGAGCCACCGAGAGCCCCCCAGGGACGCCCCAAGAGACCTCCAGGCGGAGCTCCAAGAGGCGCCCCCAGAGAGCTCCAAGAGGCCCCCGAGCGACACCCCGAGAGACCCCAGGAGGCACTCAGGGGGCCTCTGGCCCACGTAGGCCCCCGTGCGGCCCGTGCGGGGCAGCTCCGCTGGGCATCATGTACGGATTGGCTAGCCAGGACCTGTTTGATCGCAAGCGTAACGGAAGTGCCGAACGCCGTCAGAATCAGGGATGGACAGACCTCCCTTTAGTAGAACGTGGTTTAGTGAAAACGACCTCAGGCCCAAACCTGGCGGGCGCAAGCCTGGAAAATAACGGCCGCGGCGCCCTCTCGAGAACCGGAAACGGACAATTCACTCATCGACGTGTCACTGTTGGGGGTTCTGTCCACCCCCGTCAGAAGGCCAGCGAGGACACGCGAGGCGCCAGAGCATTCCCCCCCCCATCTCCGGGTCGATGTTGTGCCCCGTGAAGACCTGCAGGCCGGGCTGGTCCGTCCACACCTCCGTGGGCGGGGCGCACGTCCAAAACCAAAGCCTCGCGATCCAGACCCCTATGCAAGGGCTCCCAACTTCGCGCTTCGCGCTGCGCGAAGCGCGAAGTGCAAATAACTTCGCGCTCTCGAGCCGCCTCCCAATGGAAAAAAAGAGGACGAGGAGGAAGGGGAGCCGAACCGCGAAGCGCGAAGCGCGAATAACTTCGCACCCTCGAGGGCGTCCTTGCCTATGCCGTGGCCCCACTGCGCGAACGTCCCGCGCGGCTCGCATCCGCGGGATCGCGCCCGGGTGCTCGGACCGCTGGGGCACGACGTGGGCGCCTTCGAGGAGCTCGCCTGAGAGTGCAATCCCTGGGCCCCTCACGCCGAAAAGCGACGGCCAGACTTTCTCCTCGATCCCTGACATCCCCCCCCGACCTGGTTTCTACCATCCGCGGCCCCAGAGGTGCCGGCCGCTTCCTGGGGCAGTGTTTCGCCCCAGATCCATGTGTTCTATCAGGGGGACGTAAGACCTGGGTACAGGGGACTCGGAAATCCCCGACGAGGTCGTCAAAAAAAGGACGAGGCCGAGCCTGCATCTTGACGAGGCCTCCCGCTGCAGACGTCCCACGAAACTCCTCCTCGTCAAACTCCGAGGCGCGGTCGTCCAAAAACGGTGGCGAACCCGAGTGATGGCAAACCCGGGTCTTACGCTCCCCCGAAAGAGGGTCTCGGCGAGAAGACACAGATCAAGCGCCAGACCTCCACTCCGCACTGGATGATGTCAATTACGACGTCAATCGAGATCAGAGTCCCGACGACGAAAAAACCGTTTCTGTCATCCTCGCCCTGCGTGCCGCGAGAGAGGGCGAGCCCGAATCCCGGCAAACCCGGGTCTTGCGCTCCCCCGATTCTAGTCCCCATGGGCCCGAGAACGGCCCCCCCGAGGCAGATAGGTATTGGGTATAAAGCCGGCCGTGGAACAAAAAGCACGTCGTCAGAGGTCTGAGATTCGCGCCCCTCCTCGAGTTTGCTCGTCGCTCAGAGCCCTAGACCCCATATCCCACCAGCCCTCTGGGCGTCGGTGGTTTAGAGCGTTTCCTCTTCCACCCCTCCTTCTTCCCCTTCGGGGAGGGGTTTACCCCTCCCCCTACCCCCTCCCCACGGACCCTCTACTCGCCTGGGCGTCGTTTCTGGACGGGCTGGTGGGGATACGCGAAGCGTCTAGAATTTCTGCTGCATATTTCAACCCGTATCGATACGTAATGGTCCTGGGGCCCGAAACCAAACCAAAACGCCCGGTGCACAAACACGACGTCCAGACCTTGTCCCTCCGCGCATCAAGCAGCGCGCAGTGTAAAACAATCAAACGCCCAGATCTTCTTCCACATCTGGCGGAACAGGACAACACATAAAAATAAATGATTGAAGGTCCGTGCCGGTGTCTTGGACCCGCGCCGGACCTCCCTCCAGGGGCGGCACCGGAGGCGCCGCCAGGGGGGATGCAGCGCGCGCGGATCCAAGAAATCCGCGCGGGGCTCCGAGAGTTTCTGCTTGAGCCGCTTTTCTTCTTCGATTCTCCTCGAATTTGCTCGTCGCTCGCGGCACCTCCATGGTGATGCCGTGCGGTCCCACGAGCCGCGCGGCCAGAACCTTCTTGGGACAAGATGCGAAGGGAGGTCACCATCCGGGGGGGGGGGCACCACTACCTGGGGGAAGTACGCCGCTATGCCTTGAGGGAGTAGGCCCCCAAGGACAATCCAGAGCCTTCCAAAAGGGCCCCAAACATCCAAGAGTCCTTCGAGCTTCGATCATGTCGCCTCGATTTCCAGGGGAGGAGGAGGAGGAGGAGGAGGAGGAGGAGGAGGAGGAGGAGGAGGAGGAGGAGGAGAGGAGGAGGAGGAGGAGGAGGAGGGAGGAGGAGGAGGAGGAGGGAGGAGGAGGAGGGAGGAGGAGGAGGAGGAGGAGGAGGAGGAGGGAGGAGGAGGAGGAGGAGGAGGAGGAGGAGGAGGAGGGAGGAGGAGGGAGGAGGAGGAAGAGTGCGAGGGGCAACAATCGTCTCGCGGGGGGGGGACGTCGAGAATCGACCTGGAATCGGAGAGGCATCGCCGATAGATCGGCGATCGGCCCCCGACAGCCACACCGCACGGTCCTGGGGCGGGAGCAGGCCCCGTATCGGAGATGAATGGGCCGATGCATCCCCCCCCTGAGCCGATCCTTAAATCGGGCCTGTCCCCCTACAGGGGGATTTTCGACGAAAAATAAAACATGCCCTAAAAATAATCAAAACAAATCCAAAAATAGTCCAGGGACTATTTTTGTCGTATGTTTTGATCTTTTTGGAGTATTCTTGGGGTGGGTTTACTTTTTCATTGAACATCCCCTTGTAGGGGGACACGCCCGACATAAGCCGATCCCCTCCTGACGCTGCCCTCCAGCGGCCTGTCGGGACGAACCGGGCAGCCCCGGCGAGGCGCAGCCGCTGGAAAGCATCCCGAGGCCGGAAGACCGCCGAGAACCGACGAAAGGGCCCGAAAACCTGAGTCTACTCTCCCCCGAACGTTGCCCCTGACCCTACCCTGACTCTCCCTTGCACACCTCCCGACCAGCAGGTGACCGAATTAGTGATCCACGAACATTGGCAAAATCAGGAACTGTCGAAGCTCCGCACCGGTTTCTTGGATCTGCGCTGAACTACCCTCCGAGCGCGCCAGGGGCGGCTCCAGCGCCGATCCAAGGATTCCGCGCGGACCTTCGAAAGTGTATGCTTATGCTGTTTACGTCCATGCCAATGTTTGTCGATCTGTAAATCAGCCACCTGCTGGTCGGAAGGTGCGGAAGTTGGATAGTCAGGGTAGTGGGGACCCCCTTGAATAGGAGGCACCTCCTGGGAGGTCTTCGTTGGAACGACTTAGGGCGAGTAAGCCCGACCAGTGGGCCACTTGGGCCACTTCGCCAGATGAGGCCAGATTCAGCCCAGGATGAAACCGGACTGCGCCAGATTGAGCGGGACCAGGCTGGATCACGCAAAAAATGAACCCAAATTGCGCCAGCTACCGCTTGCGAAAGTACCAGCGCCGAGACAAAAGTTCACCTCCCAGGAACTGCATCCTGGCCTCGGTGCTGGCCGCACCTCTTGAGCAGGGACCGACAGTCCCGGCATTCCTATAGTCGTGCAACGAAATGTTCCTAGAACCCAAATATGTTCTAAGAGCAAAAACAAGGTTCTTAGAACATAAACCCGATATGATATAAGAAACAAGACAGACTCCGCCAGAAATGTCCTGAGGACACTTCGTGGGAACCACAAGAGGTTCTTAGAACATTGCTTGGTAGGGCTATAGGCGAGCCAGGACGCTTCGCCAGCGCTCGAACCTCCGGGCCGCCCGGCCTCCAGCCCGCCGCGTCGTCGACCAGGCAGTAGTTGACGTCGATCGGCCCGGCCGCATCCACCGCGTCCTCGGGCGGAGGGCGCTCGGGCGGAGGGCATCGGGCGAAGCCAAGGAGGAGGAGGAGGAGGAGGAGGAGGAGGAGGAGGGAGGAGGAGGAGGAGGAGGAGGAGGAGGAGGAGGAGGAGGAGGAGGAGGAGGGAGGAGGAGGAGAAGGAAGAGGGAGAAGGAGGGAGAGGAGGAGGAGGAGGAGGAGGAGAAGGAGGAGGGAGGAGGAGGGAGGAGGAGGAGGAGGAAAATCGGGCAGGGATAATCCTCGGCGGCGAGCGGAGGGGCAGTGGCAGGGAGAGGAGCGGGCCTTCTCAGAGGGCGGCGGGGCTTCTCAGAAGGCCCTCACACGCCCTCTGAGAGATTTTTGTTTTATTTCGGGGAAGGCTCAGAGCAGTCCCCAGAAGGCCAGGGGACCTCCGAGCCTTCTGAGGAGGTCCCCCCCTTCTCGCTCCTCCCTCGGGCTCGCCGCCAGAAAAGCGTGTTTTTCCGCTCGCCTTTCTTGACGAACGAGCAACTCACACCCATACCCATAGGGGGGTCGTTGGGAGGAGGACTGGCCATGGGTATGGGTGCGGGTTGTCGGACCCTGGGGAACGCTCCCGTTCGAGCGGGGACCCCCATCCGACAACACGCACCCATAGCCCTCTCCGACCCCTCTATGGGTATGGGTGTGTGTTGTTGGCTCGTCATTTCTTGGAAGGAGGAATAGAACTGCGGGGAATGGAAGCACCAAGAACCTGTACGGAACGTGTCCGAGCAGCACGGCCGATGTTCACGGTCCAGAAACCTGGAGTGGCTCCGGACTCGGGCAAGGGAGGGGACTCGGGCAAGGGAGGAGGAAGGAAAAGGGGGAGGACGAGGACGAGGAGGGAGAGTGGGCAGCGTGGCTGCCAAGAGCGCCTCGCACACGCACCAGCTGCTTTGATTACATCGCATCGGACAGGATAGCCCTATGCCCCTGACATGCAAAAGGTGGGCATAGTATACATCGGGGTCCAGGCAATATTAGAAAGTTCCTCACGGCAGGTCGCAGCATACATGGCGTTAAAAGGGAGGATAAGGACGAGCATGATGAGGATGATGCTGATGATGATAATGATGATCATCATGATCATGATCATGATCATGATCATGATGAGGTGGAGGAAAAAGGGTGGGAGGAGCAGGTAGTCGTAGAAGTAGTAGTAGTAGTAGTAGTAGTAGTAGTAGTAGCAGTAGTAGTAGTAGTAGTAGTAGTCGTAGTAGTAGTAGTAGTAGTAGTAGTAGTAGTAGTAGTAGTAGTAGTAGTAGTAGTAGTAGTAGTAGTAGTAGTAGTAGTAGTAGTAGTAGTAGTAGTAGTAGTAGTAAGTAGTAGTCGTAGTAGTAGTAGTAGTAGTCGTAGTCGTAGTAGTAGAGTAGTAGTAGTAGTAGTAGTAGTAGTAGTAGTAGTAGTAGTAGTAGTAGTAGTAGTAGTAGTAGGAGTAGTAGTAGGAGTCAAGCTAGCCAGCTCGAGCGAGTCAAGCATGGCATGCCCAGTCCCTCCCACAACATAAGAAGCAAAGCTGGCACAACTGGGGGCCGAAGTCACACCGGCCAGCCGGTTTGGTACAGCTGATGCGGCCGCGATGGCGGTTGCCGACGGGAACTGGCGAGCGCGTGTTGAATGCCGCGCACGCATTGCCAGACGAGTCGAGAATGGCCCGGTACACCGCAGGAAGCCAGAGGTGGCCGGAGGAAGCCCGACGGTCTGACAGGACACCCCAAAGCATTTTTGTGAAAAAGCATTGGGTTTTTGATGTTTTTATGT